TATATATATGTATGTATATATATATATATATGTATGTATGTATATTTGTATATGTAATGCAAGAAAGAAGTGAATTTCATTCATAATGATTTCGTCAACAATTAATATATCTTTTTGCCAATCATATGTATTGTTTTGTACCGGTTTATTCAAGATAGAACTTATAGGCAATGAGGCACACGCCTTAGTGCCTTGCCTATACTGAAGCGCAACCTAAGTGACGCGAAGTGCATACCCTGAGCTTTTTTAGCTTCAGGGCTTAAGCGCGCCTTAAATGAGCCTTTGACAATACTGATGCCAAATGAGCGGAGAATTGTACACACGGTTAAGACATACAAGAAAAAAAGAGGTACTATCGTGGTACTAAACTTACAAGTTATACAGTGGAACTTTATGAAATAGTGATAGCACAAAGTTACCTTTTACTTGTCAAAAAAGTGACAACACAAATTGAAGTATTAATAGGGAACAGAAGATTAGTTTGAACTTATGCCTTGTTCATATAGAACATATGTTTATGTATGTGAAGACAATTGATTTAAATTTAAAGGAATAGAAAAAAGGATCTACATAATACTCATTGGCCTAGATAAAGTTGCTTGAGAAAAAATTAATTTATATCAAATATATAAATGCCTAAAGGATGTGTACGAAGATCAAGTGTGAGGACAGTAGAAGGATATACATAGGAGTTTCTATAACTATGGGTTTAAATCAAGAATTTGTCTTGAGCTCATACTTCCCTGCTCTAGTAATGGTGCATCCTATTTGCAAGTTGATGCTATATTGATTGACGAAACCAGAGCAAGAGTCAACCAAAAGTTGGACGTGTGAGGAAGCACTCTAGAGAATAGAAGCTTTGGATAAGTGGAAGTAAGATGGAATGTACTCTGCATTTAGCTGTCACAGGAAAAATGAAGTTGAAGTAAAGCATGCGCAATTATGGTATTTCGATGTAGACAATTGAGATATTTAGGCTCAATTTTCCAAGAAAAAGGTATGATTTATGAAGTTTTAACACATAAAATCAAAAATGGATGGGTGAAACAGAGGGTGTTATGCAATTGGAGGATACCTACCAAGCCGAAATTCAATTTCTAGAGAACAATTATTAAACTAGAATGAATGATATATTCACAAGATGAGTATCATGGAAATACAGATGTTAAAGATAAATTTAGTGTCACAGGTAGATTAGATTAAAAGTGGTATCTTTTGTTTGAGGGTTGAACAACATAGTAGACAAAACAAGAGATCTCCAAAGATGATCTGGTGATGTCTTAGACAGACCTACTATGATAATGGAAGGTGCTAATTGCCAAAGGGGGAAGGTAGACTTACATTTCTATGTGAACATAGCTAGTAATGGCACCCGATGGAAGTAAAGAATCCACATGGACAATACTAATTAGTTAGAACTGAAGTTTTAGTTGTGGTTATCTTACATCACGTGTGAATTTAGAAAATCTCTAGTTTTAAAGAATAGCTAATATGAAGTGGGGGAACAAGAGCATCTTTACAGTGAAAGAATGCTATAAGCAGATTTATACTCAGAATCAGGTATTTGACCCAGACCCTTGGCCATGGAGACTAATATAGAAGACTAACCTACCTACCAAGGTTATTTGTTTCAGTTGGATTGCTCTATAGGAAGCCTGCTTAACACAAGATAATCTCAATAGAAGAGGCTTCCAACCAGTAAACAGACGTTACATGTGTAAGGAAAGCTCAAAGAACGTCAGTCACGTACTTTTGCATTGCCCAGTTGCCACTGATGTGTGGAACATGTTTTTTTGTCTTTTTGGCTTGAACTGGGTCATGCCATTGCATATAAAAGAGGCATACACAAGCTGGAGTCTTTGGAGAGTTGATAAGGCCATTAAGAAGATCTGGTTGATGATTCCTGCAGTTATTTTTTTGGAGTTTGGAATGAAAGGAACCAAAGATGTTTTGATGGAATCTCAACTCCAAATCACAATCTTAAAGCTAATTGTTTGCTTATCCTTTTTAGCTGGGTTAACTCCTGTAATTAGCACTGACCACTTTTTGGACTTTGTTAGCTCCCTAGTTATAGCTTAACGCATTCTAAAGGGGCTTACAAACTCTTGTTTTTATGTATTTTTGTCTTCTGATTTTGTAACTATGCATCTACTTGATTCCTTTCTAATGAAATGCCTTCATCAAAAAAAAGAATAGCTAATTTGAAGAAACAAATTACGGAGCCGTGGAATGATACAGCTTCAAGTAGATTGGAGTAGATGCAGAGAATATATATGGTTGACCCCAACTAATTGGACACCGAGGCATAGCTGATGATACGGTTGGGTTTTGTATGAACAGGATTGTGCTACAAAATTTGAACCCGTGACCTCAAGGTTATGACCCTTGCGAGCTACCAAACTGTTGTATAAGTTATTTTAGAATATAAGCTTTTATTTTGTGAGGGAGTATTTTTCTTTATTGTCTGACGGAGTAAAAAGTACTCGAAAAGTACTCCCTCGGTCAATTAAGGCTTAAGCTATTCCTAAAGATCTATATGGATCAGTACAGAGTTTTTTTTACTAACATTGTGGATTAAGGGGTGTGAGGAATGCTTCAGAATTTTATTATCTGCCTTGCAAAACTTTGGTGCGCTTAGTGCATAAGAAAGCCCCTTGTCATCTTCCCCTTTAGCTTAGGTCCATCTTGAGGTGATCTGGTACTCTAGTGCAATAACAAGTGTTGAACCAAGGATGGCTCGACTACTCGAGTGAAGCTGCAATTTTTTTTCTAAGAAAAATTACCCTCTGATACTTTAGGTCATATTATCTTAGCAGTTGTCATTGCTGATTACAGATAACATCTCATAATATGAGCAGGATAGTCCGTTACAAAGGAAATAAAATTACTTCATTTTGAGTCGAAAAGTAAAAAGCATGCTCGAGTCACTTTGAGCATATGTTGTCCTGGTTTGTTAATCATCATGCGAACTATCAGTGTCTTAAATCTTGAGTCAGTTCTTGGCACAGGAAGCCAATTTCTAATCCATCACCATTGAAATTCAGAACTTCTGTCCATTAAGGTTCTGGCACAAATGATTTATTGATTTATTTTTGTGGGTATAGCACGACTTTTGTAAAGAAGTTTGTATGAATATATTTTCTGCTGTAGTTATCATGAGTATGTTCAAAAGATGATTCTAGGATATTCATCTTGCTTAATTATCTTTTGGTATAACTGTTTAATGTATCAATGGTAGGCATTGGATCTTGGAAGAGGTGCTAATCCAAAGAGTTACATGGTTGAAGAGATCTGGCAGGAGCTTGCAAAAGCAAAATACTTGGAGTGGGAGCATGAATCTTCAAGACGCACATGGGAACTTAAGAAACTGAAGTAATGACCCTTGCTTTAAAACTTCTAAATTTGCTTTACTTTCCTGGTTGTCACAGCAATTACCCATTGTTCTCTTGTATATGTACATCAGAGAAACCTGTGAGTCAGCTCTCAAGGAGAGACATGAGCGTGATAGCTCTCAGATAGAAGGGTTCATAGATAGATCGACATCCCTGTTGAAGCAACTGGACGCTTTAGGCAGGGTTTTCAGGAAAGCTGCAGAAGATGATACTCCCACCGAGGTCAGTCTTTGGGCTTTATTTCCTTAACTGATTTCTCTATAGTGTGTGTGTGTGTTGTGTTGTCCTCTGATACCTGCTGAGAATTAACAGGTACCCGATTACCTATGTTGCAAGATCACACTTGACATTTTTCGTGACCCTGTCATCACGCCCAATGGGGTTACATATGAAAGGGCAGTGATCCTTGACCATCTGGAGAAGGTAAAATTGGTTCATCCACTGCTTTGGCTCGAAGTTTTCGTTGTATGTTCTATTAATATTTCCTGTATGTGGCAAATTAGGTGGGAAAGTTTGACCCGGTCACACGAGAACCCCTTAAACCATTTCAGCTGGTGCCAAATTTGGCTATAAAAGAAGCAGTACATGCATTTCTGGATAAGCATGGCTGGGCATACAGGATGGGTTGAACCTTTTCTTGGTATGGTTGATATTGGTTGATTTATGTCGACTGGGTCTCATTGTTGGATGCCATATCCAGCCTTATTTATCAGTAACCCTGGTTTACCATCTAATGATTGTTCTTACAGTTGTACAGGAGTTCTTTTGTGATGGCTTATTGGTGTTCATCAATTGTACAGTACTCGTAGCCAGTGTTTAGTGGTCTTTTTTTTGTCCATGATGTTATAGTGATCTTGTTTATTACATGAAAGGATATTCTTAAGCATTAATTGATAGACAATTTGTTTCCATGTGGGGAAAGACGAACTGAATTACTTCTCTTAAATGGAGCATATACAAAGTCTTGAATCTTGGTTTCACCTTGCGTTTATGTGCTGTTTCTGATATTGGACCTGACCAATGGTCAGTGACCATTTAGAAATCTCTGGCTAGTTGGGTACCGAATCCAGTCTACAAGAGTAGATATTGATTTTATTACAATCAGAAGAATGATTAGTCATTGGTTGATCATCTTGTATTTCTTCTTTGATTGGTGCCAGTTAATAATTGATTTACGAGTTATATTATGCAGCTTTTGTCTGTCAATTTAAGTGTATAGTAATATTAGTGGCCATGATTTTCCCATGGAATCTTCATCTCCATTATATTAAATATGCCCAGAGACAGGGAAACAGAATTCTACTTTATCCTTGGCTGCATTTTTGTCGCGAAGCTTGAAAGAACGTGGTCTAGTATTGTCATCATATCAAACCATCAAACGGGTAATATGTTCCCTATTAGTACGGGCGGAAAAGTGTAGGGTGTAAAGCAACAGAGTCTCTAAGAGATTTGTAGTCCTAGTTTCTCGCTTGTAAAGTCAGGCTGTGGTGAGACCCCCATCTTTGACTAGCTTTTTCTTACTTATTGCAGTGTTATCCTTCTAGTAAAAAACAAGTAACTCAATGAGTTTGTAGTAAGTATTTGAATTTGAAGTTAAATTTCATTAATAAGTATTGAAATTGTATTTGGACATGAGTTTCAAGTTGAAGATTTGTGAATTGAATATATTATTTCACTTGAAATACTTACTTCGGATGTTGAAGACCCCCTTTTTCCTCATTTGATCACCCCACTTGTTATGAAGCTTCGGGGTATCAGTAAAACTTTTCATTATTAGTAAATACGGATGAAAAAAAATCAGTATTTGCAAATACTGAAATACTTATTATCTATGGCCTAAAGCTACACATTAACAAGCCCCATTGGGAGGTTGGTTTCAGCCTCGTCCGCAACAGTAAGTCAAATGTGTTATCCCAAAAGCCGCAGGTCCACTAGCTTCATCTCTTAAGTGGTAGCTAAATTTGATCTTTTTGGTGCCTGTCGGCAAATTAAAAAAATTGGAAAAGGAACAGCGAACAACTTTCTGTATAAATTTTGTATAATAACAGAGGAACCAATTAAATGTCTAAAATAGTTTGATGTTATATTTATTGTCCTAAAGTAGTAACTGGAGAAAGGGACATCACCATTGATTTTAAGTGAATTTTAAACTTGCCAACTGGAGTTACGCGCTTGGCTAGTTGCTTTCATTTGGGAGGCGCTGATGTGTTTTAGCATGGTCGTTGATTAGATTTGGAAAGTAATTCCACAGTAATAACGCGTCTAATTACCTTCCAATACGTGAAAGTGAAAGGAGTCGGAGCACTAACATTTTCTTCATTATTAGCTTTACAAATAATTAACTCTAATCGAAATAGCTGGATTCCATAGCTCATTCATACTTTTATATGAACTACTTTTGCAAGTGCAAAAGAGTGATTTGGAAGCTTGTCTGTTACTTCGAGGAAACTAAATGCATCAACTTTAAACTAATTCGTTTTCAAACCCACCTTCTAAATTGATTTGTTCAAATCAATTCAGATATATATATTTTTTAGGAGTTTAAGTTAATATACTTAGTTAATGTATGAATTTTATTTTTACTATTAAGTCAACCAAATAATATCTATAGACAAGCATCCTTAAAATGTGAGATTTTTAATTTTAAAAATATGATGAATTGCCTACTACAACAATAAAAAGGACTTAATAATCTAATATATATAACTTAAGTTCCTTTCTAAAAACAATGTTATCCCCTTATGAAGAGAATTGCATAGTTCAAGACGTCTAAGATTTTCAAAGTTAGCCATGACCTTAAGATAATGGGAATATGAGATCTTTGCTCTTGCATTCAAGATTCCTCATGCCCTGGTTTGTATTAGTGTAATCCCAATCACTTGAAATAAAATAGTAATACAAAAAGTGGTCCAAAACTACTTAAATAATAAGTTGTACAGTTTGTTATCTTCCTTGATTTGTCTGCCCAAAAGGCTTTTTGCCTTGTGCCGACAGTTTTGTGAGGCTACCTGCGCTTTAAGTTTTTCATTTTACTACAACGGAACCAATAACCAAAAAACAAATACGAATAGAACATCTGATAACCCCTTTACTTGGTGAGATTTTAAACCGCAGCAAAATTTAAAGAAGTAAACACTTGAATAAGTCAAGGGGATTCAATACATAGTATATATACATTACAAAAATAATTGTTACCTATTTAAACAATTTATTTTTCTGAAAAAAGGGTATCAGTTGACATCTCTTGGAGCTATGTAGCTCCGCCACTGATTCTAAAATATATGATTCATCAGGAAAGTCGTAACAATTATTTTTTTCTCTATAACAAAATTATTAGTTAGTCGTTGAATTTCTTTGTGACATTCCTCTTTTATATGAATCATTAATATTTCTTTCTTGGAGTCACTCCCCTATTGATATAATTTCGTCTCTCAAGAAATAACTGGACCAAGCACAATTTGCATAAGGCTTTGTAATTCAGCTGTGCCAACCGAAATACACCATATGCAATATTAATTTGTGAAAATAGCACGGACTAGCCAGTTTTTGAATTGGTAATTGAAAAATAATCAGCGTTTCTAAAGTCATTAAAAAATAGTCACTATGCTGAAACATGGAAAGTTCCAGCATATTATGTTGGAATTCCAGGACACAGAAAGTTCCAGTATATGCTGGACATTGGAGTTCATGCGTATAAACTTAAGGCATATTATGTTGGAACTCCATCACATTATGCTGGAATCTCATATGTAAAAAATTCGAACTCTGGCATATTAAGCTGAAATTCTCTGCATTTTAAAAATATTTTTGTTCAAATTTTATTTTCACATGAAAAATGGCTAAATTTTGATTACTTTTGAAATCGTGGCTATTTCTCAGTTATCCGTTAAGAAAATTGAATAATTCACCCCCAAACCGATAAGCCGTTAATAAAAAAACTTCAATCTGTTCCCTGTCCGTTAAACCNATTATGGTTCTCTTTATTCGACCATAATTCAACTAGCTTCAGTAGAAATTCAACCAGCACTCCAACAGCCACCCGCAGTACTCTATCTCGTCGACTTCCAGGCTTCCAGCACTCTATCTTAGTGCCCTAGTATGAAGAGCAAACTCATATTTTTGCTTTTTAAAATTATAAATATGGATCCATCACAGCCTTTGTGTTAATTATTAATATATTGTTAATGAACAAGCAACAAAGGGAAGGACCGCACGTTTATTGTAATTTTGCTTCGTTTGTGCTATGAATAAATTAATAAAAGCTTAGATACCATTATATTTAATGAGCTAAACTACTGAAATTGTTCCTTTGCATCTAAACCCAGGCAATCAGATAGTTATCTCAATGAAATTTGATATCCTTGTATGATCCATGTTATAGCTAGCAAAAGTTACAGTGACATATCCATTAGAATTACTTTTTCCTTAATTACATCATATCATAGTCTGCTTTGGGATGTAATGTAGACTACAATGTGTTCTACTTTTTTCACTCTACACCACATGACACACTACATCATTCTTATGTAGGCGTTAACAAAATTTGTATTCTGGACTCAATGTATAATTTTCTATTCTGAATTTGTATGCTAGGCGGTCAACAAACAATTAATGCACGCAATATAGATTGAATTAGGCCGATAAACCACCCGATAAGAGCTAAACCGATACCAGTCCGCCCGATATCTTATCGGGTGGCTAGCGGATTAATACATTTAAAAGTCGATAACCGTTAAACCAAACCGTTAAGAGTAATTAACCGCCCAATCCGTCCGATAAGCAGCCCTACTATAGAGTTATCCTTTTTCTCTTTGCATACAAGGATTTCATGGTAGGTAACTAAGGAAAGGGAACAAGAGCAGCAGACAACGTCCCTCTCAACCTAATGAGTGCCATCGACGAAGGGTATGAAACTCAAGATGAAGAAGTAACCCCCACGGCATCCCCCAGGTTAGGGAAGTCGCCGACACCCTTCTGTAGCACAACCAAACCAAACGGAAATGAGGCTTCCACGTCTGCGGAAGAAGGTGCACCCCCCGCCATGAAGAAACTCCTCGAGGCTTGGTTAAATGACACTTTAGTCAGCGTGATGAGCAAGCAGGCCCCGTGCACGACCGTGAAAACCTCGAGGATCCATGCAGCACAGCGTAGGAATGAGTGAGGCGACCAACTGTACCCTCCTACTTCAGGTAATACCCCTACAATTGCTGGCAGTGTAGCTGACATCAACCTCGCCATCATGTTAAAGAGAATGGAAGAAATAGAGAACGAGAACATGGCGCTCAAGGAACAGATGAAGGAGCACCAAGAACAGGTAGATAAGATACCTGGTGCCCCCAAATTGTTACCAAAAATAGATGCCGGCAGGTTCGTGGAACAACCATACAGGGAAGAAGTAGCTCCTCATGCCATACCAAAAACTTTCAAAATACCCCCGTACCTTAGAATCTACGATGGAACTACTGATCCCGAGGACCACGTGACCCACTATGTCACCACCATGAAAGGCAACGACCTTACCAAAGAACAAGTGTCCTCCATCTTGTTGAAAAAATTGGCGAAACCCTCACAGGAGGGACGTTTACATGGTATTCGCAGCTGCCAGCCTATTCCATAGAAACATTCGAAGAGATGGCGGACAATTTCACTGCATGTTGGAGCCAAGAAAGTTGAAACAAGGGTAAATGATATCTTCGCCATCAGACAATCCCAGGGGAAGGACTGAGGGACTTCTTAGCCCGATTCAACAGGGTGAGGATGACCTTACCAAATGTCTCTGAGGGAATGACCATGGTAGCCTTCCAAAATGGGATGACCGGAGAAGGTTCAAAGGCGACTAGAAATCTACTATGCCAATTGATGAAGTGCCCACCAGCTACCTGGGACGAGATCCACAATGCCTACTGTGTCGAGGTTAGGGCATATGACGAAGACCTCAATGGGCCAATCCGACGACTCACCTCAGTGCAATCTAAACCTA